TAATCATAATCCTAATATAACCCACGTATATTTAGGGAAAAGAAAAGGAAATAATAATACTAACCATAATATAAATCTTAATAATAATAGTAGTAGTAATAATAATAATAATAGTAATAATCTGCATATACCATATATATATACACACACACACAACAATATATATATATATATATATATATATATATATATAATACCTTCATATATATATGTATATATATAATATACACAAACTAATACCTTCATATATATATGTATATATATAATATACACAAACACACACATCAATATATATATATATATCTAAAATACACCCATGAGCTATAATCCTTACCCATCTAGGCTTCTTATCCAAATAATCCATGAGATCCATTTAGTTGGTCCATTACTACTACCTAAACCCACTCCTTTAAATAAAATAAAATAAACAATTAAACATTTAAGCTAACACATAAACATAAATAAATACACAATTAAATCACATAAATCATATCAAACAAATACACACAAATAAATCACATAATTCACATCAAACAATTAAATTATTTAAGCACATAAATACATAGCCACATAATCAATTAAAATGCAAATAAAAATAATTAAATAAATCATTTTAAAATTCTTTGAAAATTACGGTTATTACACCCAGAAAGGACCCCGATTTTTGTGAGCCGAGCAAAATCAATTTGAATCCATATGGAATGTGACTGTCACAACCGAGATATTTCAAGATTAGTTGACCGAGTAATGGAGGAAGGTGATAGCGTAGTTCTACAATTTCTCCTACTTTGTAGGGATATTCCAAAAACCATGCAACCATTATGGAAAGAGTGTCCAGATTCATTAAATCTTCATACTAAATTAAAGCAAGCCTCTCAAAATCGAAACGTGGATGGTCAATCAGAATAATAGGGAAGTGCATCTTTACACGTGTGTATATATATATATATATATATATATATATATATATATATAGATGATGCTTAATTCATGCATGCAAGAAGGAGTTGTTGGATCGTAGGATGCTTGGTGCTATGTAGACATGCTAAGAGGAAAGTTCAACAGAAGAAGGAGTTACCAAAACTGTAAGAACATGCACACACACATATATATATATAAGTGATGGATACATATATGGATAATATATATATATAGTTCAGAATTTTAGGAAGGGAAGGATTCTGCGCATAAAAAGGAAACCACTAAGACATGGGACACCTGGCAACATGTGAGCAAGCGAGGTGTAAGTTTTTAGTTTCTCCATTCAATTGTTATGGCTGCCAACTAATAGAAGTTGCTTAGGATCATGGACAACATGGCTGAAGTTCGGATGTAATGCGTTAGAGGAATACTGAAATAGAGGAAGGTTGATATAGTGAATGAAAGAAACTACCAAGTCGTGGGACACTTTGCAGTTCAAAGAAGGACCAATTCGAAGGTTCAATTGCTGCTAGAACTACCATCATCAACTACTACAAGAAAATCGTATATATAGTGCACTTAGGCCTAACATGCAAACCCTGTTCAACACACACAATAAATCATTACAACACTTTGCTATTTCATATATCTTTACATTCCTTGTAATGTATTTACATAATGTTTAATCTAAGTTGAGTACTTTCTTTTCCTACTTTTCAGCAAGTAGCTCAGTCTTTTCAATTACAAGTCATGCATTTTCCATTTCGTCTTCCTTTCCACTAGTACTAGAACTCTCCCAAAGTCCTTTTTCAAGGCAAAAAGAATCTTTGAAGGTGGTCATTCTAGTCCTTCATACAATTGCCTCATCCCGAAAACTCCCAACTGGAATATTGTTTGGAGCTCCCCTTTAGAATGACAGCAGTTTCTAGCATGCCTGCACCCCTTTCCATTCTCTTGGAAAGGACCACTTTTTTGTGAGCCAAAAGATAGCTCTGTGTAGTTCGACCAAACAGTTTGGAAAGAATGATGCTCACCAGACTGACGCACTCGTTGTTGTTTGCACCAACTCAAGCTCTTACTATGTTTGCTCCGACTGAAGCACTTACCATTTGGGTAACTATTGGAACAGCAAAGAGGCTGGAGAAGATATTGAATTGCAACTCTGATCTTTTTAATTTTCTGCTCCCTGTAATTTTTCGTTTTATCTCTCATTGTATATTCGATGAAGCACATACGCGATCCCAAATACTATCTCTACTATATGTATTTTTCAATCATTTCCGAAAGTTGGTGCTGTTTGTTTTCAGTATTTAGTGATAAGTGATATCCCTGTCACGTAAAATTTTACCCCATTTTAAGTGGTGGTTATCGTTTTCAATAATATTCAAATTGCGTTATCAACCGTATGATTTTAGAGGTAACTAAAACAGCTACTACTAGCATGAGACATGCTACGAGCATTAACTAAGACTAAATAGAGCTGTTAGAGGTATATATACTATCACTTAAGTGGACTTTAAACACGTTTGAGTAATAATAAGTGCATGTGACACCTCTAATGGACTCCTAAATAATAATGCACAATAATTTTTTTTTTATTATTATTATTATTATTTGTAAGCAATGCACAATAATAGATATTTGAATTAATATAAAAAAAATACTAAAACAAATATATGATGCATATTCTCAAAGCAGATGCAATATTGATTTGACATTAAATAAGTAAACCTACATTAAACAAGTAAACCATAAGACATAGAACATCACTAACACTCCTGGTGAAAAAAGTACGTTGACCTAACAATATAGTGATTTTCCCCAGCCCTCAGTCGACTTCTCTCTACTCCTTTAATATTATCTCTTCTATATCCATCATATTTGTTTTAGTGATATACCTCATATTTTGTACACTCGGTGAACCTAGAGGGAGCTGTGTACCTGGGGTAAGTGGAAGAGATTGGGCTGTCATGTTGGGCCGGGTAGGGCTGGAGATGGGCCTTGTGTTGGTGGAAACCACAAAGCATGTCGTGGGCCAAGATTCGGACGATGTGGATCAAGTCCATTACTTGATCCGAGAGCCCTGCCGGAGCTGCTGAGTTGTACTCCACTTGGTCACTCAGCCCATCATCATGACAATGCACGTACTACTGCCGAACACATCATCAAGTCCATTCTTGGCCTGCCCGAACTGTTGAGTTGTACTCCACTTGACAATGCAAGACACTACTGCCCCGGGTTATTGTGGACATGCAATAGACACGATTCTATTATTAGATACTTTCTTCGTTCTAAATTTAGTGTCGCTTTTAATAATCATGACTCACATTTGAATAATCGTGACTTACAAAACATGTCATGTAAGTCAGGATTGCTAAAGACGACACTAAATTTGAGTTGAAGAGAGTAATTAAGAAAGCTAGGTGACGCAGCAGCTGCCCATTGTCTTGTCTAATTTACATTCTTCCACCAAACATAAATATCCACCACTACACCGTTTCTATGTACCACTGTGAGAGATTCATTATCTCTATAACTATACTGATAAAGTTTGAAGAGCAATCCCTCTGTCGAATGGCATTCTTATTATTATTGTTAAATAGTTCATGATTTCAAGTAAAATAATTGTTTAACTTAAATTTCTATAACATTTTTGTGTTTTTTTTTTTTTTTTTTTTTTTTGTCATCTTTAATTTTTATAATTATAGGTGTACTAGTTGAGAAGAAGAATACTGACTGAATTGAGTGAAGTCGGAAAAAAGGTAGGTATAATATTCCTTTCACATAGTCCTCAACTTATTCCATAAGAGATTTTTTCCTTCTTTTATATCTTTTGATGTTCCTTTTTTTCAAATTTATTTTATTTTATTTTATTTTATTTGGGGGGGGGGGGGGGGGGGGAGAGAGAACTTATGATTACCACCTTCATTATTGGTTGCATGTGTGTACAAATATGTACTTCACTTTTTTTTTTTAGTGTTGCCAATTAACTAGGCTAGGATGTATTTACTATCATTCGCCTTGGTGTGGGGTTTTCTATTTTATGTTATCTGTCTAGGGTTTTTTATTTTTTATTTTTATCTTCCCATGTTCTCTCTTGTCTCGTACATATGACAATATTCTTTTGTTTTAACTTAAAATGCTAAAATATATACGGATTTTTTAAAATTCTATTTTATATATGTTTGTGCGTGAAGAAGTTACAAGAAATGGCCTTTTTTGGTGAACTTACAAGTAGAGTCAGAGTTCCAATTTACAGTTAAATTTAATCTTATCAAAATTTACAAAACATGATTTTTCATTGATCGCTGTTTTTGCTTTTGTTTTTTGTTTTTTTTTTTTTTTTTTCGAACTAAACTTTTTATTTTTTTCTTTTTCAAAAAATAACTTCCCCTTTTACTCTTTTGGGCTCTCTCTCCTCAACCTTAACATATAGCAATAAGAATTGGTATGGTATAAACTGCATTACTTGTTCATATTTATTTTGGTAGATGATCGATTGTGTGTTCATAAATTTTTGGCTTAGTATCGATCCTATAAGCTATTGCAATTTTATATATGGATGGTGATACAAAATAGACTTGACACCTCTTTTTGTTTATAGCAAGGAAGAGAGACGTTGAATATTGCGTCTTGTACAGAAGGATAAGATGTTAAGGAGCCATTGCATGTGTCTGGACTTTGAACCCACGATTAAATGTTACTATTTCTCTACATTTGCAGCTTCCACATTTACTACTACCTCTGTCCAAAAAGGACATCCTATTTTGAGAACAGTGATGACAGGTTTCCCAAATTAGGACATCCTATTTTAACTCATCAATGTTCCCAAAATAGGACACATCCTTTTTGGGACACAGGTAATATTTCTCTACATTTAGTTGATTTGCATGTTAGTAGCGGACAGTGCCTCTGTATTTTATTTGGATGTTGCCTATATTAGCATTGACAGGCCTATCTTAGTTTGAAATGGACAGATGATCTCATAATTCAGTTTGATTAGTTTGGACAAACCTATATATTTTCCTAGTTTGTTTGATCTGTATCTGCTTTTCAGGAACTATGGACCGTCAAGGAGATGGAAAAGGTTGGGAAAACATTGGTTGGACCAAAACTGCCTTTGGCAGGACACAGTTAATGTTACTCGTGGTGTTGACATTATTTCAGATGTAAAAACATTTTCAAAGAAAGACATTTGAATTGATAAATCAATAAAGATTAAACCTTACGATTGTAAGCATGGTTTCATCAAAGCTGCTGGATCTCGCAATATATATGACTAATTATGCACCAATCTTTTAACCCCATCTGTTCTTCTTGACATGGTCCTTACAATGAAAGCCAATGGAAGTTTTCACCCTTCTGCAAGCATTGCTGTATTTGAAGACCTAACTGAATTTTTTCTCCACGTACGAACAACTTACACAATGATCCTGCAATCAGTAGCACTTATGTTATTTACCTGCATGGGGTGTTCATTGCCGTGTGTTCGTGCTTGAGTTTGTGTTTGTAGAGAGAGAGAGAGAGAGAGAGTCCACAATAATAATAATAATAATACAACGAAATAACCTTGGCATATGGCATTGGCATGGCATTCTCGCTAGTTAGTTAAAATAATTTTTCCTCCAGTCCACTGGAATTGTCTCAACCTTAGTAGATTCAATGCCATGTTTCTAAATACATGAATATATAAAACTTCTGTCAAACATTTGGGGATGCCTATATAAAACTTGATCATGCAAAAATGGCTAGCTATTCTACTCCTCTGTATATGTTTTTTTCATCTTTAAAAAAAATTAAAAAATTAACTTCTAATATAAATAAAATTATATACTTATGGGAGTCGAGGCTTGAACTCTAAACCTCTCCCTTTGGGGAGTAAGAGCCGACACCGCTGGGCCACTTGGCCCTTTTGTTACTTATGGGAGTTATTCCATGCAAAAGATATAGTATAGACTAAAGAGAGCTACCACCACTCAACTAAAGAGCACAGGGAGATTGACCCGAATATCATACCTTCTTTATACTGAAACCTAACTAACATCATTCAAGTATGATTCCTGTTCCACAAATATATAGATAGCATAAAAAATTAAATAGTGAAATTACAAGGAAAGAGAAGGGAGATTGACTTGAATATATCATACCTTCTCTGTATTGAAACCATAACTACCATCATACAAGTATGCTTCCTGTTCCACAGATAAATAGATGGCATAAACAACTAATTAGTTAACATGATAACTCATGGTCAATACTAGGAAGGAGCACAAATAACGTTGGCACTAAAACAGTCTAGTCAAGGCATCTAGGAATGCCTTACGCAGTTGGCTTTTCTGGAAGAGGCGGGGCTCCAAGTTAATGCAAAAGAAACCAACATAAAACACCTTAATTTTTATGTATCCATTAAACCATTTGAACATTTCAGTGCCCTCTTAGATTCTCAAGTGTGCACACATCCTTTCAGGTTCATGAATCATAAAAGATAATCCATTTTCATTTTAGTTTTTATTGATTAAGCACTCGGTTGGATAATGTGTTAAAACTTAAGAGCTGGAACAGATACAATCTCCAACAGAAAATAAAATGTAGAAATATTAAAACACGACTTAAGTTTTAGAAACACATTCACGGAACCCAAAATTGATAGGATTTAACACTATCCATTTAACAAAAACTATAACACAACTTCTATTTATTTTTTCACTCATCTCATCATCATCATCATCATTAACATCCTTCGCCTTAATCCCATATGAATGGGGTCAACCACATGAATTCTCTCTATCCAATCTTTTCTATTACATGTTACATTTTAAAACCTCATCCCATGTTATATTTGGTCACCTTCTTCTTCTCTTACAACAAGTCTCCCTTGTTTGACCAGTGGGTTTTTAGGTCTCCGATGAATGTGTTCAAACCATCTAAGCTTACTGTCACGCCCCACAACTAAGAGGCTACGCCACGTAGGCGCCACGCAGACGCCCAGCAGACGACGACATGGAGCCTGCATGGACCAGAGCTTTCTAGACTTCTCTACGCAAGTATGGAACTTTCCAGAATTCTCTAGATTAGTGTGGAGTTGTCTAGCCTTTTCTAGACTTGTCTAGAGTTGTATAGAATTCTCTAGAATTCTCTAGACTTGTCTTGTACATTGTACATAGTTCTAGAATTGTATAGATATTTCTTTGGAGGATTCTAGACACTAAATCTAGGCCACACATTTGTACACATCTAGAATGTTCTTGTAAGGCCAAAGGCCTATAAATAGGAGGTGGGAGTTCATTTGCCCCTCACCAAGCAACCAAATTGTAATCTCTCCTCTCAAGTAATACAAGTTCTATACATTCCCAAACTCTCTTACTCACTTGCCTAACCTCTTCCTACACACCCAAGTAAGCAAAACACTTGTCTAGCCTTAGTCTTCACTAAGCTAGCACACTCGGGTAGGCTGACTTAGCGCTTCAAGGGAGCTTGGAAGTGTCTAAGGCCGCACGGGAGCTTAGAAAGGTTCAAGTCCGTGACAGATGGTATCAGAGCTAAGGTCGTGAGGCGTCACACCTTATGTAGAGGAAGCTATGGCGAAGCAATCAGACGCGACTAACAACCAAGAGGAGGAGCTACGTGGAAGGGAAGCAAATCTCCCTCCAGTCGGAATGAGGACGAGGGCTAGGTCGAAGGACATCATGGCGGGCTTAGAGGCACGTATGGCAAACATGGAGGGGTCCATAGCCAATGTGTTGGAGCAGCTTGAGGATGCTCACCAGGGCATGGATGGGCTGGAGTCGGAGGACGCTGAGGTCCAGAATGCTGTCAAAGGGTCACTCAATGCCCTAAGTGGTGACTTTCGGCAGGAGCTCCAAGCGCTTCGAGAACTTATGTTGGGCGAGTTTGCCACCCTACGTGGCTATGTTGATCAGGAGTTTGGCACTTTCCGCGAGCAAATGGAGGAAATGCGAGCGGACTGGGCATTGTGCAAGCGGGCGGTGGCGTCCGGCACAGCCACTACGGGGGTAGTAGCACCCCTGGTTGATATTCCCAAGCCTAAGTGCTATGGTGGGAACCGGGTAGCGAGGGAGTTGGAGAACTTCCTCTTCAGCATGGAGCAATACTTTGAGGCTACGGGCATGACAGACAAGACCAACAAGATACGCACGGCGACTCACTACCTCACAGACCATGCCATGCTATGGTAGAGGAAAAAGTATGGTGACATGGGCAAAGGTACAGTCTCTATTGATACTTGGGCTGATTTCACTAGGGAAATTAAGAAGCATTTCTATCCTGAGAATGCCGAGGATGAAGCCAGGGGCAGACTCCGAAGGCTAAAACAGGTTGGGTCGATTCGGGACTATGTGAAGGAATTCACTAACCTAACTCTTGAGATCCTGAATCTATCCGACAAGGACTCTCTTTTCTTCTTCATGGATGGCTTGCAGTTGTGGGCTAAGACGGAGTTAAGATGGCGCAACGTGCAAGACCTTGCCACAGCTATTGTAGAGGCGGAGTCCTTTATTGATTTCAGCTCCAAGAAGGAACCCTCATCCAAGCCAAAAGACAAAGATAAGGACAAGGGGAGGTATGCCGGCAAAGGTGGGGGAGACAAGGGCGCTGCACTCCACAAGGATTGGTCCCGTAAGCCAGGTGGTGGCCACGGTGGCAAAGAGGGAAGGGAGAACAAGGAAGGAGCACCTAAGCCTAAGGGTTCTTGCTTCATATGTGATGGACCACATTGGGTAAGAGATTGCCCAAAGCGGAAGACCCTCAATGCCATAACGAGCTGCTACGAAGAGCAACAACAGGAGGAGGTGCATATGGGTTCACTGCAAATCCTTAATGTCATCAAGGCTAAAACTGAAGTCCCTAAGGCGGCAGCTAAGGGGCTAATGTTCGTGGAGGCGAGCATCAATGGGACACCCACACGTGCTTTGGTGGACACGGGTGCATCCCACAATTTTGTGAGCCTTGATAAGGCCAAGAGGTTGGGCCTCAAGTATAGCAAAGAAGGGGGCTCCATGAAGGCAGTTAACTCGGCGGCAAAGGCTATACATGGCATGGCATACGACGTCCAAGCATGCATTGGCGAGTGGGGTGGCCACATAGATCTATCGATGGTACCCATGGATGACTTCAAACTAGTCCTTAGGTTGGAGTTCTTAGACAAGGTAAGAGCTTTCCCCATTCCTTTTGCTAACACTATGTGTATTATGGAAGGCAACACAGCATGCATGGTGCCAGTAGAGCGAGGCGCTAAGTTAAAAGCCCAAGCCTTGTCAACTATGCAGTTCAAGAAGGGGAGACTAGAAATCTTGCTACGTTGATGGAGACGCCCGATGATGAGCTAGTCCCTTCCCCACAAGAAGAGGTGCCTAAGGAGATACGAGCTGTGCTAGACGAGTACACGGACGTGATGCCTAAGGAGCTGCCCAAGAAGCTTCCACCTAGGAGGAAGGTGGATCATAAGATTGAGAAGATTGAGCTGAAACCGGGTTCTAAACCCCCTGCTTTGGTGCCCTACCGGATGGCACCCCCAGAGTTGGAGGAGTTGCAGAGGCAACTCAAGGAGCTGTTAGATGCGGGCTATATTCGACCCTCGAAGGCCCCATATGGCGCGCCGGTGCTGTTCCAGAGGAAGAAGGACGGGTCCTTGCGCATGCGCATCGATTACTGGGCGCTCAACAAGGTGACTATCAAAAACAAGTACCCCATTCCTCTCATTGCCGATCTTTTTGATCAACTTAGTGGAGCACGCTACTTCACTAAGCTAGCCTTGCGATCGGGGTACTACCAGGTGCGGATAGCGGACGGAGATGAGCCTAAGACTACATGTGTGACGAGGTATGGCTCTTATAAGTTTCTTGTTATGCCGTTTGGCCTCACCAACGCACCTGCTACTTTCTGTACTTTGATGAACAAGCTCTTTCATCCCTACTTGGATCGCTTTGTGGTGGTGTACTTGGATGATATTGTTGTGTATAGCACCACTCTAGAGGAGCACGTGCAGCACTTGAGGGCGGTCTTCCAAGTCCTACGGGAGAACGACCTATATGTGAAAACAGAGAAATGCTCCTTTGCCCAAGAGGAGGTGTTGTTCCTAGGGCATAAGATACGGGATGGCAAAGGTGAGGGCCATTCAAGAATGGGAGCCGCCCACTAAGGTGACAGAACTACGCTCATTTCTTGGGCTTGTCATTACTACCACCGCTTCATCAAGGGTTACTCCGCAAGAGCAGCCCCATTGACAGACCTTCTCAAGAAAGCGCGTGCTTGGAGTTGGACAGAGTCTTTCCAGGGGGCATTTGATGACTTGAAGAGGGCAGTCACAGAGGAGCCGGTACTTAGCTTGCCCGACCACTCCAAGCCATATGAGGTGCACATGGATGCATCAGACTTTGCTATTGGGGGTGTGTTGATGCAGGAAGAACACCCCATAACTTATGAGAGCCGCAAGCTTAATGACACTGAGCGGCGCTATACGGTGCAGGAGAAAGAGATGACGGCAGTCATCCATTGCCTACGTACTTAGAGGCACTACTTGCTCGGGGCACAATTTGTGATCAAGACGGATAATGTTGCCACCAGCTACTTCCAGACAGAAAAAGCTCAGCCCCAAGCAAGCTCGATGGCAGGACTTCCTAGCGGAGTTCACCTATCATTTTGAATACAAGCCGGGCAAGGCCAATGTTGTGGCGGATGCGCTTAGTCGCAAGGCCGAGCTCGCAACTATTAGTCGGCCCCAGCACCCTCTTGTGGAGCGGATCAAGGAGGGGTTGCAGCATGACCCTCTAGCCAAAAGCCTTATTCAGCTGGCTAAAGAAGGGAAGACTCGGCGCTTTTGGCTAAGGGATGACTTGCTTCTCACTACAGGGGACCGACTCTTTGTGCCTAGGTGGGGTAACTTGCGAAAGGAGCTAATACGGGAGTGCCATGACACCAAATGGGCTGGTCACCCAGGTATGCGGCGCACACTAGCACTTCTAGAGGATTCTTACTATTGGCCTCGAATGCGTGATGATGTGGAGACATATGTGAGGACTTGTCTTGTGTGCCAACAAGACAAGATTGAGCAACAGCATTCTACAGGCCTACTAGAGCCACTGCCTATTCTAGAGAGACCATGGGAGAGCGTCTCTATGGATTTCATCACTTGCTTGCCCAAGTCAGAGGGTTGCGGGAGCATTATAGTGGTGGTAGATCGGTTCAGCAAGTATGCCACCTTCATACCCGCACCAGCAGATTGCACGGCAGAGAGGGCAGCAAAATTGTTTGTTGACCATGTGGTCAAGCTTTGGGGAGTTACACAAAACATTGTCAGTGACAGAGACCCTTCATGGGTAGATTTTGGACGGGACTCTTCAAGAAGATGGGGACGGATCTCAACTTCTCTACGAGTTTCCACCCCCAATCAGATGGGCAGACGGAACGCATCAACGCTCTCCTGGAGCTTTATTTGAGGCACTATGTGAGTGCCAATCAGCGAGATTGGGTTAAACTCCTTGGGGTGGCACAGTTTTCTTACAACTTGCAGCGGAGTGAGGCTGCTAATCACAATCCATTTGAGGTTGTTACCGGACGGCAGCCTATGACACCCAACGCCATTGCTTCGACTTGCGATGGTAAGAGTCCGGCGGCCTACAAATTTGCCAAGAGGTGGCATGAGCAGTCCGACTTGGCTAGGGCGTACCTTGACAAGGCGGCAAAGAAGATAAAGAAGTGGGCCGACACCAAGCGAAGGCGGGTGGAGTACATAGTGGTAGACCAGGTAATGGTTAAACTACTACCCCAACAGTTTAAGTCCTTTCGGAGCGTGCATAAGGGGCTAATAAGGAGGTATGAGGGCCCGTTCTCCATTGTCAAGCAAATGGGCAAGGTCTCCTACATGGTGGAGCTTCCACCCAAGTTGAAGATACATCCAGTCTTCCATGTCAGCATGCTCAAGCCTTATCATGAAGACACGGAAGACCTTACTCGGGGCATATCGCAGAGGGCACCCATGGCCGTTGTCACATCCTTTGACAATGAAGTTGATTGCATCCTTGCAGATCGTGTGATGAGCAGGAGAGGTGTGCCCAAGTATACAGAGTATTTAGTGAAATGGAAGAACTTGCCAGATAGCGAGGCAAGCTGGGAACATGAGGATACACTTTGGCAGTTCGCGGAGCATATCCAGCGGTTCAAACAAGAAGACGCGACAAGGGCGTCGCGAGCTTAGGTGGGGGAGAATGTCATGCCCCGCAACTAAGAGGCTACGCCACGCAGGCGCCACGCAAACGCCCAGCAGACGATGACATGGAGCCTGCATGGACCGGAGCTTTCTAGACTTCTCTACACAACTATGGAACTTTCCGGAATTCTCTAGATTAGTGTGGAGTTGTCTAGCCTTTTCTAGACTTGTCTAGAGTTGTATAGAATTCTCTAGACTTGTCTTGTACATTGTACATAGTTCTAGAATTGTGTAGATATTTCTTTGGAGGATTCCAGACACTAAATCTAGGCCACACATTTGTACACATCTAGAATGTTCTTGTAAAGCCAAAGGCCTATAAATAGGAGGTGGGAGTTCATTTGCTTCTCACCAAGCAACCAAATTGTAATCTCTCCTCTCAAGCAATACAAGTTCTATACATTCCCAAACTTTCTTGCTCACTTGCCTAACCTCTTCCTCTACACCCAAGTAAGCAAAACAATTGTCTAGCCTTAGTCTTCACTAAGCTAGCACACTCGGGTAGGTTGAGCTTGGAAGTGTCTAAGGCCGCACGGGAGCTTGGAAAGGTTCAAGTCCGTGACACTACTCTCACTAATGAATACTACCCTAATTCTCTCTTACACTTTCATTAGTGATCCTCTCTCTTCTAATCACTCCACTCATCCATCTTAACATTCTCATTTCTGCTACATGAAGGCATTGCTCTTGTTTCTTTTTTAGGGCCCAACACCCCACTCCATACAACATAGTAGGTCTTATAAGGTGCTATATAAATTTCCTTGTAGCCTAAATGTTATCTTTTATCACATAATATCCCACAAGCTTGTCTCCATTTTGTGCAACCCACTCCAATTCTCCTGGTTATATCACTATCCATCTCTCCATTTTGGATTATCGATCATAGATAAAGAGAGTGATTGCTTTGAGTAATCTTTTGGCTTTGGAGGGTTATCATTAGATTATCAATGTATGAATATCTATTAAATTTACAATCCATATAAAGTATCATGCACCATGGAATAGATATCCAAGAGCATTTCTCCACATTTCTAGTTTCATTTTTAAGTTCTCTTTAGAGATATCCAAAAGCACGATATCATTGGCAAACATCATGGACCATGGTATCTCGTTTTGGAGGTCCTGTTTTTTTTTTTCGTCAAAGATTATTGCAAATGGATATGGGCTTTAGCACAGATCCTTGGTGCAATCCTATGTTTATGGAAAACTAAAACTTGTCACCACATCGAATCCTACGTTTTCACTTATCTCCCTTCATTAATAAAATATGCGATTTATTTTTTTATTTAAACTACCAAGTGCGCAGTTTCATGTGGCGCGCAAGTTGGCTTCATTACGTTTCACATTGCTTCCGAAGGCAGAAATTCAAAATAATAAATAAATAGAAAACTGCAATGAGGCAAAAAATTAAAACAGGATCACTTCAAGAGAAACTTGAATTTGATCCCCTACCGTCAATCAAGGTGATGGCTCTAATTCAGAAAGACCAAGTATTATCTCCCATAGTGACAACTCCCACTTACTGGCCCCTTCAGATAATGGTTGAATTTGATCCCCTACCGTCAATCAAGGTGATGGCTCTAATTCAGAAAGACTAAGTATTATCTCCCATAGTGACAACTCCCACTTACTGGCCCCTTCAGATAATGGATTATGGCAGAAAATGCGATGATATGCAAAACATAATAGAGCCACTCCAATCCCTTTGGAAAATTAGAAAACAACTTAATATATTAAAAGCAATTGGTAACTGTGGAGTTATCATTCACCTCTCTCCACTTCAATCATCTTCATAATAAAGCACTGCCATCCGGCTAATATTCATTCCAGCAAAAAATAATAATAATAAATAAATAAACCCCGCTATTGACTATATATGAAATTCAATTCTAGATGTGGCCTTCACTAACGAAATTTCGTTCTGTAAATATATCATTGCATCTCAGCAGAATACCATGTCACACCAGTTGTCAATCACAAAGAAACCTATCCAAACTTTAAATGTATTGACTCCATTATGCCAGTTAAACAGATACAGACACGCCAGAATATCAAATATGGAATTATTCCTCATAATTTCAATAACAGATTTTAAAAGAACTATTTTGATCAAAAAATCTAAAAGTGCCCATTTAGTCAGATTAATTCAGGGAATATAACTATGGATCAAACAAATAATACTGCAGACTTACATATGAACAATTAATCAATTGGGTGCTTGTCAGCTTGGCGAGATGTATAATGTGCAGAAAGCAAAAGCAGAGAAAGGAAAGCACTAGCTACAAAGATAGCGTCAAACCATCGGTGGTAAAAATCAAATTGAATGTCTCCACCCAATACATCAGTTATGATCAACCTGCAAAGGATACCAGTTGAGGGTAAATAATACCATTTAAAAGCTAATTATTAGCTTGCAAGCAAAGCACCAATATGTACTAAGAAGGATTGATACAAAAAATCAAGAAACTTCAGCCTTTTGAAATATAATTCAGAATTTTCCTACTTCGGTAATTACGATTCAGAGTGGTGACTCAAATTACACAAGGAAAAAAACTTGAACTATATATATACATGTATGAATATATTCCACATTTAAAACTCCCAAAGGAAATTGCATTGTAATAAAAATACCATTTCTAAAAGATGTTACCTGTAGATTGCAATAGCATTTTGCTTTTTGGTGAAATTGTACATCAGATACGACCCAGTTACATTTCAATAGTTTAAAGGCATTACATGGGGTTGACCTCACCTACAAAGGTGTTGGGAGAGGGCTCCTGGTAGAAGTTGGTGAAGATTTTTCTAGAGATAAAGGAATAGGAATAATTCTCCATGTTTATTCTTCTCCTTGTGGAGGATTTAAATAGTACACATCATGTCTCCTCAAACCGTACACAATCGGCAATGTCTCCTCAGACCATTTTCCTTCGTACACATGTTTAAAACATGTAGATGGAAGAATCAACAATGTCTTCTCAGACCATTCCCCTTCATACATATGTTTAAACAATGTAGAAGAAAGAATCAACAATGTTTCCTCAGACCATAAAAAGAAACAACTCTGTCTCCTCAGACCATTTCTGAATAGGTGGTGTCAAACTCGCAACACTCTCATTGAGGTCGGATCACCCTGCCTACCCAACACCTTCCGGATGGGCAATCTCACCTTAGACCATTCCCGAATAGGTGGTGCCGAACTCACAATGAGGGCCTACCCGACACCTCCCGGACGAGTGATGTCACCTTAGACCATTCCCGAATGGGTGGTGCCAAACTCGCAATGCCCTCATTGTAGTCGGACCACCTTGGCTTTGATACCAAAAGTAGAAATACAATATAGAAGGAAAATGAGAGAATTGTGTAAAGACTTGAATGAGATAATCATTCATTCACAACTCTAGTATTTATAGATAAAAAAGAGTACATGCTTATATTACAAGAAAAGAAACTAAATCAAATTTAAATCAAATCTATGCTAATATAGTAAGTCATTCCATAAATCATGGCTACCATATACTACCATATGCATAATCAAATCTATGTTAATCTGGTAAGTCATTCCATAAATCGTGGCTATCATATATGCCAACAATATGTGTGTGTGTGTAATTTATATACACAAATATTATTATGACGATGATGATGATGATGCAGGTAGCACAGCATAATGGGGACCAATATTTTATTAATCATATTCCACAAGTTTTTGCTCGGTTGTGAAAGGGGTCAACTTTCAGTTGTCCAGCAAAAATTACACATAAGAACACTTTATCTCCTTTGTGGTCCATGTTTTCAAAATCAGAGGTGGCAACAAGGAAATTTTATTTTACAATAAAAGTAAAACTGATAGAATTAAATGTGCAAGATATGTTAAAAATTTAAGAGATACACCAAAACAACAAACTAAAAATACCAAGCAAGGCAAAACAAATTATCTTGTACTGATAATGACCATACCTGTATTCAGTTGCTAGGCTTTTTCTTATCAAAAGAATAGAAGATAAAAAATACATCCCCATTATTTCAGATAGAAAAAGTACAACGTTGCTCGAAGATCCACTCCCAACCCTAGAAACTGCAAAGAAGAACTGCACGCAGCCAAACACTGTAGGTTAGGCTGGAATAAAATAAAACCACCAAGACCAGGTGCTTTAATTTGGAATGCTTAGGTGTTAAGTGTTAATATATTCCCAAACTTCCTATGGTGTTTGTGAGATACATGCTTTCATATTGGCTAAATTTGTTGTCAAAACGAGTCCGGTCGAGTTGTAATTTTTGTTTTATGTTGAGTCTCAATATCAGATGCGGAACTAGAAGTGCAATCATAATTCGATTCGATGAGAACATCATTAAGAGAAGGTATGTTGAGTGGGAACACTTTGCACATATATGTTTTAGGTTGGATAGGATTGCAATTAGGGTTTTCAAGACAAATCCGACCGGTGGCACTTTTCCAGACCAGTCGCACTTGGGCCAACATAGCTAAGATAACCCAGAATTGCAATCTGGACAAATTCAACCGGTTGCACTTTTCCCGAGCAACCGGACTAGTCCAGATTAGAAAAGGATAACTCTCTTTTCGTAAAATAAACTACTTTTTTTAAATTTCTTGATAAAACTTTAGAGAGGTGTCCTTGTACGATTTTGACCTATTTTCCAACATAAAAAAGGACTCTCTAACATCTATAAATACTCTTCTTCTCTCTTGATTAATTACAGGCTTAGATATTAATATTTTTACAATTGAGGGAGTTTTTCTTTTAGAGTATTTTTCACTGAAAATTACTTTGATTGTTCTGTGTTTTATTTCTTTGAGACCACATACTATTTACACGAGTGATTTTAGAATGGTTTTCTCAATCTGATCGATGGCGTACAGAGCTTCTTCAAGATTATCTTGGTCGTTTTATCCTTTCAACTTTGTGTTCGCAAGGAAGGAAGGGTTTAAATCGTGTTACAAAGGGGACAAAGTGTTTTGCGGAGCACTCATGTTCTTCCAGCAACCCGCAACCTGTCTACAAGAATTGAGGAGTAAGCCTGAAGTCTATAGCAATTGGACGAGGAGTCGCAAGCATAAGCCTGAGGTGATCAGCAACTGGGTCTTAGTAGAGTGGAGTGGGTGCGAGTCTGTGACAGTCTGTTGTACTGTGCTTCGAGATAGTGGATTGTTTTGCTCAAGATGACGGAATCTCCGTGGTTTTTTCCAGAAAAGGTTTCAATAAAAAATCGGATAAAGGAGCAAGTTTAAACTATTCCAACCCCACCCCCCCCCCCCCCCCCCCCCCCCCCCCCCCTCTCTTCTCTCTTCCTCTTAGGTTGTTTTAAATCAAACTTCCACATCCATTCCGCATAGCCAACTGATGTAATACATGAGAACAGTGCATGAACAGTGTTTTCTAGTTTCTATTTTACGAAAGTTTTCATTGTTTTAATTTCCTAATAGTTTAGTATTTGTTTTAGGAAAGTTTTCAGTGATTTAATTTTCTAAATAGTTTGGTGTTTGTTTTAGGAAAGTTTCCATTAATTTAATTTCCTATATAGATTAGGATTTGCTTAGGTGTATAAATACATGCTATTGTAATAGTTTAGGAATAAATTTTTCTATTATTAATATCAGAAAATCGAGAGTTTCTCTCAACCTCTTCTCGTGGATTTTAGTCTTTAAAGAATACGTTGCTATTCTTAATCATTTTGCTTGCTTTCATTGATCCGCTGCGTCAAGTTGGTATCAGAGCCATTCTCCATGGATGGTGATCAAGGAGAACATGCGGTGACTCTGGAAGAATGTCAAGAATTGCGTCAGGAACTCAAACAGGAGATTCAGATGGCAGTTGAACGTCTAACTAAAGCCATGAATCGTGTGCAGATTCGTAATAGGCATGATCAGGACGAACCTGATGGTGTGAATCAGCCACGACAAAGGACTGGAAATCAACGTGGTCCTCTTCAGCGTGCTAATAATCAGGGCCAGTGTCAACAGGACGTCGGGTCTAATTTGAGCAATGATCAGATTGAAGGTATTGTTCTAGCGCATGGAGATCGCGGGGCGAGATTTTCGGATGAAAATTGGCCTTCTATCTTTTAATGGTCAACTTGATATTGAAGATGTCTTGGAATGGCTTGAAGAAGTTGAAGACTTTTTCGAGTATTTTGAGATACCCGAGAACAAGCAAGTTCTGCTTGTAGCCTATAAAGGATGGGCATCAGCTTGGTGGAAACAAACACAGATTAACCGGAGGCGGCAAGGAAAACACCCTATGCAGTCATTGTAAAAGATGAAACGGCCATTGATGGCTAATTTCTTACCACCAAATTATGAGCAGATGTTGTATCAAAAATATCAGAATTGTCGGAAAGAGAATCCATCTGTCAAAGAGTCTATGGAGAAATTTTACAATAAGGATCGTGACATCAAGGTCGGTCAAGATAATTTTGTTGAAGCAACAAGTGATATTATTGAGATTGATCAAAAGCAAAATTGTGTTGCTCCACCTCTTGTAGTTGAGGATGATGAAATTGTCCTTACTTTAGTCGCAACAGATGCACCTCAATGGACTTCCAATAAGATGGAGTCCTTGGACAAAAGGGATAGTTTGAAAGAATTAGATGTAGAGCAGAACAAAGAAGTGGATGTTGGCATAGGATGTGCGGACACTTATTGCTACATAGACCCATATTTGAAGAGCAGTGGTACTAATGAGATTGAAGAAGTTGAGAGCATGATAACAAAGACTAGGGGTGAAGCAATGGTATGTGCTCAGAACGAGGATGATGTCATTTATAGAGACCTAGTTGATTGTTGTTCTAATATGCATGTTCCCTGCAAAATTATACTAGCATGTCCCTCATGGACAAAATGGTTTGCTTGTCTACCTAAAGGTGGAGAAAAGGAGAACTTGCTACTTTGCTAGTAGCTGACACACAAGACTTTACTGAAGTCTTCAATGGGAAGGTTCCTGTCTGGTCGAATTTTTGCACATATGATCAAGACAATTTCTGTTCTTTTGAGTTGCCAACGAAAATTGATTTGTCACACTTGGTGTTGTTTTGGGATAGGGCAACTAAGAAGCAAGTTTACAAAGCACTAAGGTCAAGTCGTTAGTGGTACAAAATTTTGTTCATACTTATATATGATGAACCGTCAGTGAAATTCAAGGACGACCACTGTTGAACTCAAGGGCGAGTTCTTTTAAAGAAGGGGAGCATGATGTAGTACATGAGAACAATGCATGAACAGTGGCGTGAACAGTGTTTTCTGGTTTCCATTTTCTGTTTTAGGAAAGTTTTCATTGTTTTAATTTCCTAATGGTTTAGTATTTGTTTTAGGAAAGTTTTCAGTGTATTAATTTTATAAATAGTTTGGTGTTTGTTTTAGGAAAGTTTCCATTGATTTAATTTCCTATATAGTTAAGGATTTGCTTAGGCCTATAAATACATGCTATTGTAATAGTTTAAGAATCAAAATTTTCTATTATCAATATTAGAAAATTGAGAGTTGCATCGGCTCATCACAAACCCTATTCCATCTATCATAGCAATCGCATCTAATCATCACAAGTGGAGAAACTTGTGTTGGAACAAGGGCGGCCGAGAACCTGTTTTGCTGCCTGCTTAATTGCTCAACATAAACATCCTTCTCTTATTAATTTTCAGAATAGGGGGATCCATCTACCATCTGCTTGTTCCTTATGCTTATCTGAAACGAATTCTAGAGATCTCTTGTTCTTGATCTGCCATTTGCAAGACAGGACTGGTCTTGGTTTTGATGACATCCTAAACTGGTCTATGCCTTTATTTTATAGGTTCAAACAACTTATAGACTGGTGTATTCTTCTTAGACCATTCACTGAGATCTAAGTTAAACAAAGATGGTTTTTGCTGCTGTTCTGTGGGCTATATGGGGTGAGAGGAATGCTAGATACCATCAAGGAAGTTGTCATTCTGCTATTGATGTTTATAAAGGGACATGGTTCCAGATCACTGATGCTGCTGGTATTCATTGGCAGGATATTGTTTCCAATGTGTATCCACATTGTGTTCTAACTTTGTTTTCTTTTGTACTGGAAGTGGTATTTTTTTATTTTTCTATTTTTTCTGTTCTGTTTGGAGTGTGAGGGTATGCCCACACGGCAATCATCTTGTACTGATTGTCATATATTTTGGTGATCCTTAATACATTACCAGCTTATAAAAAATAAAAGATGTTAAATTTTATCATTTTAAGTACATTTAAACTTGAAGTTACTTTTTCTAACAGTCTTAATATCTTTTTCTTTTGCATGCTTTTATTAAATTGGAGAACATGCAGAGGAAAGGGAAAGACACCAATAGAAATTAAAGCTTGTGAGGTTAAACAATGCATTGTTGATGACACTTGGTTGAATAACTTAGACTATCTCTTGAGTTTCGTAGAGCCAATGATTGAGACACTAAGAATAGCATATATGGTCTCTCCTATGCTGCATATTATATATCATGTGGGATACATTAATTGAAAATGTGAAAGTAATAATATATGAACATGAGAGAAAGGATGATTGGTGGCCAGTCTGATTTCTTTGATGCGTTCACCATGTGTTAGAGAGTAGATGGAATAAGATACACTCCTCAACATTGTATGGCATAATCATTAGTGCCTTAAATATATATATATATATATATAAAAGGCCAACAAAATATTGGGACTTGTGTAGGCTTACTTTTAATGTTTATTTTTATCATTTTAAGTACATTTAAACTTAAAGCTACTTTTTCTAACAGTCTAATATTTTTTTCTTTTGCATGCTTTTTATTAATTTATCAAAGGTGGAGATAAATTTGGCATCCATGTCAACACTTTGGCTGAGATTGCTGTGCTTTCAATTAATGGACCTGATTTGGAAATTATGACTTTTGATGATGAGGTCGATTTGGGGACTGAACAAGCAATATTACTTCAATTAGTTGAGGGTGAAAAACTTCAAGGCAGACACAAGTGACTAGGGGCAAAATAGTTTGAATTTTTTATTTTATTTTTTTATTTTGCTTTTTTTAATGAATTTTACCTGAAATTTGTACTTCTGAAATTTACTATGTGGTGTGAAAGTTACCATGGATGTTAATCTCTTGTAGATGCTATATATGATATGATAAATATTCGAAGATATGAATAATATAAATTCTTAAAATCTTAAGGTGTATCTTTCATAAAGTATATGACAGGTTGGTGCCTGGTCGTACTATGACTCAAGTGTTTTTTCTTGTCTTTTTTAAAATCAGGTAACATTTAATTTTGTTCTCCTTTATTTGTAGTGTTATAATTATTTTATTTAACTATAAGTTATAATCTGATGAGGGTGGGCCTAAAATCTTAAGGTGTATCTTTCATAAAGTATATGACAGGTTGGTGCCTGGTGGTAAGTGTTTTTTCCTTTCTTTTTTAAAATCAGGTAACCTTTAATCTTGTTCTCCTTTATTTGTAGTGTTTTAATTATTTTATTTAATTATAAGTTATAATCTGATTAAGGTGGGCCTTGGCGCAACGGTAATATTGCTCCATTGTGACCTGGAGGTCATGGGTTCTAAACTCAAAAACAGCCTCTCCATGCAGAGGTAAGACTGCGTGCATCTGACCCTCCACAGACCCTACAATAGCTGGAGCCTCGTGCACTAGGCTAGCCCTTTTTATAAGTTATAAACTGATATCAATATGCAACTGTGCAGTTAAGGAATCATTCAATCAAGATTCAAAGCCATCATGTATGTAGCAGCCTTTATCTTTTAATTAATTGTTTTACTGATTATCTATTTAGTTACTGTATATGTAGTGATTAGAACTGCAAGTCTAATATTTTGTATATTGTGTCCCAGGACGGCAGGACCCATATCTAAATATTGGTCACTTTCAGCCAAGTCCTCGTATCTTGTAATTTGATAGATTGATGAACCCAACCCCTAGATACGCACCCGCACCTGACACTCGTACCCGAGTTCAGGTAACATAGGCCTCCACTTTGGATAGAGAAACTCTTTATGAAGCACTATTTTCCTATAGGGTGATCATAGAAGTTGCAGTGTGAGTTTCCAAATTCATTGTCCAGGTCTAGCTTTCATTGGCAGCAAACAGACCAAGAACTTGTGATTCACTTCTGAAGTTTATAAGTGAATTCTTACTATTGTTTGTTAACCTGTTAGTAGAGAAAGGTAATGTAAACCAAGTATTAAAGTTTGACTTTGCCCATACACTCCTCTTTTAATGGGTTCCAAACTCTTTATTGAAAGCAATAATGAACTGCAATATGGTGGACCACCTAATAACACTATTCTAAAGTACACATGAAGTACAATATTTAACATAAGTAGCAAAATTACCTTCATTAGATTTGTTAAGAATCCGCGCACAGATATAATGATCAACATTCCAATGAATAAGAGGGATATGTACTGTACAAGAGGAGGAAGAAGAAAGGGTAAGAGAAAGTAATAACCATGGAAGAATTAAAATCTACTTATGATAATGACAATTGCAGGTAGCAATGTTAACAGGCGCAAAACCAGTTACTTGGATTTTGGAGTTCAACCAATGCAATATTTATAGGCATTTGATTCTTTGCTTTTCATTCTAGTCATCTAATGAAAAAAAATAACTTGTTGCAAGTTCAATTAAATTATGTGTATCATGTAGAAATTCTGTGTGTAAAATATTCTACTTCATATATTAACATCTTGTACAAGTATATAGGAAAGAGGGAAAGCTATACAAGGAAAAGAATAAAAATATTCCTACAAATCTCTTCCTAATTTAAAGCAATCAATCTATCCTATTTTACTGCAATCCATCTATCCTACAATCTTGTTCTAATTTACAATAGTCAGAAATCAATCAAATCCCTAAAATCAAGGGAAATAATATATATCTTCCTGTTGGAAAGGAGAATATTCGGCTGAGATTTATTGCTAATCTCTAGGGATTGCCTAGCTGTATTTTATGTTTCAATATAGGCCTAGTCAATTTTGTAAATAAGGAAAATTAGTTGTATAGTTATTCTGTTCCTTTTTTAATGCCTTGTATAGCCTAAGTAGTGTACATGTATATCATTCTCAATATCAATGAAATACCATTTCACTAAAACAATTCTCTCCTAATTCCATATTGTTTAGATGGTATCAGAGCAGGAACTTTATTTCGGACTCTTTTCTGCATTCCGAAAAAAATTACCAGGACTTATTCCTTGGTAAACTCCACATTGTTTTTCCTTTTCCTCTCAAATTGAAACCCTAGCTTCTCACGATGTCTGAAGTCTCTTCTAAGCCTACTGAAAACCGTGGTCCCAATTCTGATTCGCACTCTGTTCAGATAACCACTATACGTCTTAATGGAGACAATTTTCTGCGCTGGTATCAATCAGTGCATATGTATATTCGAGGGAGAGGAAAGATTGGGTACCTGACTGGTGATACAAAGGCACCTGATTTGAAGGGTACGACTTATGCCACTTGGGATGCAGAAAATTCCATGGTTATGGACTGGATAATATATGTGCTATCCAACTGCCAAGGTACTCTGGGATAATATTCACCAGGTGTATTCTGACCTTGGCAATCAATCCCAAGTGTACGAACTGCAACTACACGGAGAAATTCAACAAGGGGGAGACAACGTCACCAAATACTTCAATATGTTGAAAAGGCTATGGCAGGATCTGGATATTTTCAATGACTATGAATGGAAATCTCCAGATGATTGCAATCACCACAAGAAGACAGTGAAAAACGATCGCATCTACAAATTTCTCGCTGGCCTGAACATAGAATTTGATTAAGGGGAAGGATCATTGGTCGTGGCCCTCTTCAGTCACTTGGAGAGGTATTTGCTGAAGTTCGGAGGGAGGAAAGCCGCCGTAGTGTTATGCTCAAAAAAAAGGGGGCTAGGGCATCGATTGAAAATTCTGTCCTAGTCACTGCTAATACAAATGCGAGCAGAATTTCTAATAGCCAGCGCAGAGCTGAGGACAAGCCTTGGATATGGTGTGATTTCTGCAACAAAACCCGCCATACACGTGAGACATGCCGGAAGATTCATGGCAAACCGGCCAACTGGAAGAGCAGCAAGCCTGGAGACCGATCTGCTCGTGCAAATGAGGCTGATGCTAGTCCCTTCAGTAAAGAGCAGATGGATCATCTTCTGAAGCTGCTGAAATCCAATCTAGAGTCTGGTATTCCTTATGTTCCTTTGGTTCAAACAGGTAGCAACTCTAGTGCTTTCTCTTGCCATTCTAGTCCTACACCTTGGATCATTGATTCGGGTGCTTCTGATCACATGACAAATCTATCTCATGTATTTCACTCTTATTCACCTTGTTCCGATAATAAAAAATTTAGAATTGCAGATGGAAAATTTTAATCTATTGTAGGAAAAGGCTCTATCAAAATTTCTGAAAAAATCACCCTAAAATCTGTCCTTCATGTCCCTAATCTTGCATGTAATCTCTTATCTGTGAGTCAACTCTCTAAAGATTCTAATTGTCGTGTTACCTTTTTTGACTCACTGTAATTTTCAGGAGCTGAGCACGGGAATGATGATTGGTAGTGCTAGAATGGTGGACGGTCTTTACTATTTTGATGACAACTTCCTCCGTAATAAACAAGCTCAATGCTTTGGTACTAGTATTAGTTCTCTCTCTGTCCATGAACAAATAATGATTTGGCATCTTAGACTAGGACATCCTACTTTTTCTTATTTTAAGTATATATTTCCTGTTCTATTTAAAAATGTGGATTGTTCATCTTTTCAATGTGAAAGTTGTCATTTATCAAAAAGCCATCATACTACGTACAGTTCAAAACCATATGTGCCTCAAAACCATTTTACTTAATTCATAGTGATGTTTGGGGTCCTTTGAAAATTACCACATCTTCTGGAAAAAAACGGTTTGTAACTTTCATAGATGATCACACCCGGCTATGTTGGGTATATTTAATGAATGATAAATCTAAAGTTGAAAATTTGTTCAAAATTTTTTATAATATGGTTGAAAACAAATTTCAAACAAAAATAAGAATACTTCATTCTGATAATGGAACTGAGTATTTCAATCACTTTTTGGGAAAGTTTTTAAAGGAAAAGGGGATTCAACATCAATCTACTTGTAGTGATACTCCTCAACAAAATGGTATTGCCGAGAGAAAAAACTGACATTTACTTGAAGTTGCACGTGCCATTATGTTCTCAATGCATGTCCCAAAGTATCTATGGGGAGATGCTATTTTGACAGCATCTTATTTAATAAATAGAATGCCTACTCGTATTTTAAAATATATTACACCTTTAGAGTGTTTCAAAAACTTCTTGCCTGAAGGTCGAATTTTCTCTGACTTAGCCTTGAAAATTTTTGGGTGCACTGTGTTTGTTCACATACCTAGTAGGCTTCGATCCAAACTTGATCCTAGGGCAGAAAAATGTGTGTTTATCGGTTATGCGCCGAATAAAAGAGGCTACAAGTGTTATAATCCAAAAACAAAAAACACTTTTGCGAGTATGGATGTATCGTTTGTGGAAAGTCAGCCTTACTTTGGACAAAACTGTCTTCAAGGGGAGATAGTGAATAATGAAGCTCAGTTTTGGGAAACAGTTGTTCCTCTGCCTAATACCTTAGCTATTCCTCTACCTAATACCTTCTTTCCCGTACCTGCTCTATATCCTTCCACCTCTAATAATCAACACTCAGTGCTCCATGTTTACACTAGGGGTACTCATAAAAAGATGAAAACTTAGTAGAAATATATAAAAAGAAGAGAAGAGAGAATTGCGTAAAGGCTTGAATGAGATGAATTACTCATTCACAACTCTAGTATTTATAGATAAAATGAGCACATGTTCATATTACAAGAAAGGAAACTAAATCAAATAAAAATCAAATCACAACTTATTCTAAAGCATATTATATGGCATATTCTATAGCATAATCAAATCTCTACTAATATGGTAAGTCATTCTATAAATCGTGGTATCATAAATGCTAACACTCCCCCTCAAGTTGGTGCGTGGATATCTGCAACGCCCAACTTGGACAATGCATTCTCAAACACAATCTTGCTAACGCCCTTTGTAAGAATGTCTGCAAGCTGCTGAGAGCTTGTGACAAATGGAGTGCAAATTTGACCAGAGATGATCTTCTCTCGAATGAAGTGACGGTCCACCTCTCTTTGCTTAGTCCTGTCATGCTGAACAGGATGTGCTGCTATGCTAATGGCAGACTTGTTGTCGCAGTAGAGTGACAATGGAAGCGACACTGGAAGGCACAAGTCTGTCATCAAGGTTTTCAGCCAAAGCAACTCACCTACCCCAAGAGCCATAGCCCTATACTCTACCTCTGCACTAGATCGAGAGACAACATCCTACTTCTTACTGCGCCAAGTAACCAAGTTACCAACAATAGTGGTACAATAACCTGAAGTAGACCTCCTATCTGAAATTGAACCTGCATAATCAGCATCTGTCCAAGCCTCAACACGTAAGTGACCATGATTAGCAAACAAAATACCATGGCCTGGGCAACCTTTTAAGTAGCGAAGAATCCGAATAGCTGCATCAAGGTGTGGGGCACGAGGAGAGTGCATGAATTGACTCACGGCACTCACGGCATAAGCAATGTCAGGTCGAGTCATGGATAAATAGATGAGCTTCCCCACAAGTCATTGATACTGACCAATATCTGACAACAACTCCCCCTCAGAATCAGCCAACCGATGATTCTGCTCAATCAGAGTATCAGCAGGACGAGCGCCAAGCTAACCAGAAGTAGAAAGCAAGTCAAGAACATACTTAAGTTGAGAGATGAAAATGCCAGTCTCGGAGCGAGCCACCTCAATGCCCAAGAAGTACCGTAGGGGACCAAGATCCTTAATCTCAAACTGACGGCCAAGATAGCTCTTAACCTCATTAATTCCGGTAGTATCATCGCCGGTAAGAATAACATCATCGACATACACAATGAGAGCAATTGTCTTACTGCCTGAACGACGTAAAAACAAGGTATGATCAGCTGCACTTTGATGGAAACCAAACTTGAGCATAGCAGTGCCAAAGCGATCAGACCAAGCTCGAGGAGACTGCTTGAGGCCATATAAAGAACGACGAAGACGACATAACATACCAAAATGAGCAGGAGAACGAAAGCCCGGAGGAGGAACCATGTACACCTCCTCCTGCAAATCACCATTGAGAAAGGCATTCTTGACATCTAACTGAAATAGAGGCCAAGATCGAATTGCAGCAACGGAAAATAATACACGAATGGTATTCATATTGGCAACAGGGGCAAAAGTCTCTGGATAATCTATGCCATAAGTCTGAGCATAACCCTTGGCAACCAATCGGGCCTTGTAAAGAGCAACTGACCCATCTGGATTATGCTTAACTGTAAACACCCAACGACAACCCA